CTTTTAAATTATTTTTAGGTAAGTTCTAATTACAATTATTTTATTTTATTTTTTTTTTTAAATAAAAAATTCAATTGCGACACAAACGGTATTTATCCCAGTACCAAAAGCTGCTACAGTGCTGGCAAAGGATATGAAAGTATATTTTCGATTTTCCACATTTCGTAAACTATGCTCGAATTTGAAATCATAGACCAATAAAAGAATGAGGATTTTCATTTTTTCTTGGATATTCAACCAACTCCACCCTCAGTCATTTCAAATTCCCAATCGCCATTCAAAATATTTTGAAATCTCCACTAATATTGTGAAATAGCTGTCAACACCACCCCTCTTCACCTTTGCAATTATTTTTCGCACACATGATATGATTTATTTTCTGGCTACTTCGAAACCTATAATTGGATACTATCATCGGCAAAAAATGCCAACAATTTGTTGTAAAAATAACCAAGTCATGATTCTACTTTGGTTTATTTTGTGTGTTTTTTGAATAATCATCATCACCTCCATAGTCGTCGGTGCGCCGGTGTCGTCGTCGTCATTCAGCAGAACGCGACGACGACGACGACCACCTGTTGAAAGCCTTCCTTCCATTAACTGGCTAGCGTAGCGTGTGTTCTGCTGCTATCGATAAATATTATTTAATTTTATTTTGTTTTTGTTATTATTATTATTTTTTTGTATTTTTATTATTATTGTGTGTTTTTGTTGTTGTTGTTGTATTCGTTCCATTTGTTTGTTATTTAATACATTTTGTGCCACCAAAGCAAATACCTAGTGGCTGGGCCGAGCGGGTGGCGGTGGTGATGGGATTGTTATGGCTGAAAAGTACATTGACTCGGTTGGGGTTTCATTACAGGAACAACAACAACAAGAACGAGAGCGACAGCAATAAACCAGAACATCGTTACAGTCTACCTCCTCTTCTTATCAGTGTGTTGTGACAACGCAATGATGTTAGCAGCTAGGGAACAAGGTTTTGGGTTTGAATACAACTTTTTACTATAAAAGAAGGCCTGACTAAGTTCTTCTAGATTTAGCAGACCCCAGGGTGGTCTTCTATTTCAGGAAGTATTGAAGAATTGATTTTATCAATGAAGGATAAAAAGGAAGGTCTTATAGCTGCAGTCCCATATAACAAGTCCTCTATCTATAAAAGACTTGAGTAAGATCTCCCATCAATAGAAGACCTGTGGAAGGTCTTGTAACTGCAGAATAACTTGATCTAATAGCTTTGGAGGAAACATGAAAGGTATTCATTTTATTTAGACCTGTGGAAAGTCTGCTCAAAATCTTCCATCTATAAAAAGATAGAACATACGTATGAAGTCTTTAGAAGCCCTGGAAAAGGTTTTCTATTTGAAGACCTGAAGAAGGCCTTCTTTAAGATGTTTGTATAGAAGAAATATGGAAGTTCTTTTTCATCAGATACCATATAAAAAGTGTGCTTCTGGCAAGATCTTCTGAATATAGAGGATATGGAAGGTCTCCCGTCTGTAGAAGACCTGAGAATAGTCAAAAAATTGGTATTGATACCACAAGGAGTGGACCGATATATTTCATCTTCACAGCAAATCTTGTGTTAGTAGAAGTAATGGGATGTGTGAAATATGAAGAGAACCGCATGCTAATTTCGGATTTTATTTTGGTTATTTTTTGGTTTTGGTTATTTGAAATTTTAACCCGTTGTGGGGGAGGTACCTTTCTCTTTTGTGCCGTAAATGATATATTTTGAAAATTTCGACCCTTGGAGGGGGGGGGGGGGTGTTTGGAACTAAAGGACATTTAAAGGCACATAACTCTGGAAGGCTAGACCTCTTCAAGAAAACAAGTTATATCTTTGTACCCAAGGGGTACCTGTGGGGCTCTAAACTTCAAATAAACATTGGTTGGAGTTGGATGGTATCGATCTGCATCAAACTTACTTTAACAGAACGCTAGGGACCACACATGCTAGGAAATCATTGAAATTTTACGAATAAAATTGCAGGAGATTTTTGTTGAGAGGGTCTTTGGAACCGAAAATCCTAGACAGTATGGGCTTCCGCTAATATTTTCAAAATTATACATAAGAGGGCCCGGTTTAACTTTAACTTAGTAAAGTAGTCTCGGAAACTCTTGGATTTTTTTAATTCGTTCCAGATTTTGGTATATGTACCCCGATTCCGGATATTTTATTTAATTATTATTATTATTTTTTTTTGACGGATTCCCCGATATTTGACCCAAAATTATTTATTTTCACTAGTGGTCACATAATGGGGTTAAAACGATTCGGGAGATGCATCATAAAATCCTGCCTATATCTTTATTGTCCGTATCGGATTAGTATATTCGTGTGTTGGATCTGTATTCTGGGTGAAATATCCACGTCCGTCCCCCGAGAAAAAACAAGGTACAAATATCTACCTCTTGAAAATTTTAAACTGGAGTTTTTCCGAGGGTCCTACGCTAGACTATTTCCAACAAATCAATCATTTTGTCATGATAAGGAACATTTCCACCCGGCCCGAACTTTGAATACCCTCCACCATTTGGAACGAATTAGAAATTTTTCAAAAAAAAAAAAAATAAATAAAACCCGTAAAAATTCTGTTAAAATCTGCAAAATCCTCTATACTATGGTGGAGGGTATAAAAATCCCAAATTTTGTTAGAGTCGTTCCGAGGGTCCTACTCTAGACTGATTCTAAAACAAGTTAAAAAAAAACAGTAACTTCGGCTGGGTCAAACTTTGAATACCCTCCACCATTTGGAACGAATCTCGAAAATTTCAAAAAATAGAATCCGTTAAATATTCTATTAATTCTACGACTTGAAAATATATATGCCATTGCCATATTCAAATTCGAAACTTGAAATAGACTAGTGAATAATGTAGCTAAAATCATCAAAATACGGAATAATGGGATGTACCGTTATAGGGGGGCTATACAAAGACCTGGACCTGCATAGACAATTTTCTGTCACAGGCTGTAGCATCCATTACGACCTTCAAATACAACATCTCAAACAATTTCGGTGAGTATTGTACCTAAAATCGTTAAAATACCGAATATAGAGAGGTACTGATATACGGGGCCTATACAAAGACCTGGACTTGCATACACAATTTTCTGTCACAGACTGTAGTTCCCATTACGAACTCTTAATACGTAATTTGAAACAACCGGAGTAGTAGAAAAATGTCGCTAAAATCATCAAAATACCGAATATTGGGAGGTATCGTTATATGGGGTCTATATGAAGACTTGGAACTCCGCAGACAAGTATATGTCTTAGGCTGCAGTATCCAATAGGAACTTCAAATACAACATCTCAAACCATTTCGGTGAATGATGTAGCTAAAATCATCAAAATACGGAATATCGGGAGGTACTGATATATGGGGCCTACGCGAAGACCTGGACAATTTTCTGTCACAGACTGTAGTTCTCATTACGAACTCTTAATACGTAATTTTAAACTACCGGAGTAGTAGAATAATGTCGCTAAAATCATCAAAATACCCAATATCGGGAGGTATCGTTATATGGAAGCTCTACGAAGACGTGGACCTGCACGGACAATTTTCTGTCATGGGCTATAGTATTAGGAACTTCAAATACGACATCTCAAACAATTTCGGTGAATATTGGATCAAAAATCATCAAAATATGGAATAATGGGAGATACCGTTATAGGGGGGCTATACGAAGACCTTGACCTGCATAAACAATTTTCTGCTTAAGGCTGCAGTATCCACTACGAACTTCAAATACCAAATTTGAAACATTTTCGGTGAATAATATCGGTAAAACCATCAAAGTATCGAATATTGGGAGGTGCCATTGTATGGGGGCTATACGAAGGCGTGGACCTGCATGGACAATTTTCTGTCATAGGCAGTAGTATTCATTACGAACTTCATATATTAAATATGAAACAATTCCGGTGAATAATGTCGCTAAAGTCATCAAAATACCGGAAATAGGGAGGTACCATTATATTGGGGCTATACCAAAACGTAGACCTACAAACCCATTTTCAATACCAAAAGTCCTGCAGAAATAATATTTGAGTAGAATTTTATCAACCTACTTCATTTCGTTCGGAAGCTACAGTGATTTCTACAGACGAACAGAGGGACGGACTAAATCGACATAGAATTTTATGCTGATTAAGAATGTATACCTTGTGGGGTCTAAAATGTATATTTCGAGGTGTTACAAACGGAATGACAAACTTAATATAGCCTCCATACTATGGTGGAGGGCAAAAAAAATCCCAGATTTTGTTAAGAGTTGTTCCGAGGATCCTACTCTAGACTGATTCCAAAAAAAAAATCAATTATTTTCTCATCCAAAGGAACATTTCCACCCATTTTCCTCCCCAACTAGGGAAAAATGTGTAACACGAGAAAAAAAATGAAAAGCTGTAATTTAAATCTCTGCTCAGAATATCCGCAGAAAAAAAAAAACATTTGGCCCATAAACATAATTCACTTCAGAGTAGAGCTACCTACTTCTTCGTGTACTTTTTTTTGCAGTTGAGTTGAGTTCATTCAGCTAAGTATGAGATACAACAACAATAAAAACAACAGCAACAACGACAAGTCAGTCAGCCAGTCAGCCAGCACACATAAATTCTAGTTGACCTGACATGACCTGGATGACGACAATAAACAGATTTGTTGTTGCTGTTCTCGTTGTCGCTGTCTGCTGTTTCTGTGTTGTTGTTGTTTTCTGTTGCAATGCAAAAATCCCGGCACACACACATGAGTGTGTGTGTGTGTGTTTGTGCATTGGGTAGAGACATACTAACGAATTATGCACACACAAAATTGAATGATGTCTTAATTACTAAATACGAGCCGGGGGCAAGAGGAAGTGGAAGCAGAAGATGAAGAAGCAGGGCAACATCACACACTTTTTCCCTGGTTTGTACCCCCAGCCCTTCTTCTTCTTCTTCCGCCTCGTCTGCTTAACCCAATGACTTGGCTCTGCTCTGTTGTAATACCTGTGGTGTGTTTTTCCTTTCAATGGCGACGTAAAATGGTTGTCGTTCCGTCTACAGCAGCAGCTGCTGACGCTTTTGAATGATGTAAATATCTCGAGCAATTTTTGCAACTGCTCCTCGTTGTTGTTGCAGTTTTCCTGCACGTTCGTACGTCTGCAGCAGTTGTGAGTAAAATAATTTCAATTGTTGTTGTTTTTGTTGTTGACGACAACTCTGAGGCTGAGGATGATGATGTTGATGGTGGCGATGAGACAGGCAGGCAGGCAAGGCCTGTCTGGCTGCTGCTGCTTCTTCTTCTTTTTATGCTTCTTCTTGGTTTATTCTTATATTACACTGTTTATTTTCTCACACTTTACCACTTCACTTTCGTCGCTCACTCTCTGGCTGCCTTGCTGTGGCGTTGACTTGATTTTCATTCACTTTTTTCTGGTTGTTGTTGTTGTTGTGGTTGTTGCCGCTTGTTTTGCTGGCTTGTAAAAAATGAAAAGAACGACGTAATAAAAAAACTTTTTGAAACAAATCATCAAAACGCCTAAATTATTTTATTAAATTATTTTTTTGACACTTTTTATTAATTTTTATTTTCTATTTTTTTTATATTTTTCATTCATTTAATTATTTTATTTTTCTTAAAAATTTTATTTTTCCAAAAAAAAAAAAAAACACTTTTTTCCTCATTGCCACTCACACTCACTTTTGTTGTTGTTGGAATTATTATTATTTATTATTTTTGTTGTGATGTTGTTTGCACATTTTGTTGTTGTTGCTGCTGTTATATTTTTTTACTTCACATTTTTATTCCTACTTCTTTTTGGATTTTTTATTTTGTTTTTCTTCTTCTTCTTCTTCACTCACATCGTTATTCATAAACTGCGTATTTTTATTTTTTTCTTCTTCTGTATTTTTTTTAATTTATTTTTATTTTAGTTAAATTAAGCAAAGGTATTTTTTTTATTTTCTTCGTCTCTCTTGTCGTTTGTTCTTCAAGATAATAGCTGCTATGTTGTTATTATTATTATTTTTTTCGGTTTTATTATTTTTTTTCGCATTTCTGGTGTGTGGTTGATGGATGGGGGGGAGCGAGAGAGGAGAACATATCTCCACATAGCCATCCAGTCAGCCAAACCAACCACATCCATTCATAGAATTGATGAATTTCTTTGTGATTGCTCACTACGACCGACGACTGACTGTTACGGCGGCGGCTGCCACTTCTGGTGACTACTACTACTTCTACTACTTGTGTTCGGGGCTGCCAATACTATTTAGCATACACCGAACAACCAACCAACCACACAGCCCAACACACGACGACGGCCGAGATAAACAACACTCTGCTCTGGGAATAAGGCGGGTTACTCTCGCACACTCACTCACTCTCTCTCTACTCGGTAGTAGTATTTTTTTGCACTCTCTCTCACACATTTAACTGAAAAACATAACACATAATACAAGTGTTGTCAATTTGGCGTTTTTTTTAAGAAAGAAAAAAAAAAAACAAATATTTTAATATTCAAAATGAGGCCCTTAGTGAAATTAATTTTAATTAGAAAATACCTAATATTTTCCTACATTAAACAGGCAATCTATGGAAACAAGGCCTTTAGGAGGACTTCCATGTATAGATATCGCGGAAAAGACGAAAGGATAAATTTAAAAAATTATCCTTCGAAAAAAAAAAAACATTTTAGAAGACTACTTTTAAATGCCTTCTATGAGAAGAATATTTTTAGAATACAGACAATAACTAAATTGGGAAACTATAATAATTGCATTTCTCCGCCCGGTCCTGCACAATGGAACCTCTAAAATCCATTTTAATGTTCAAGACGTGCCCCTAGCCACATTGATTTTAATAGGTGTGTGAAATCATAAAAAAAATTTATGTCGAAGATAAAACTCGTGGAAGGTAACTAATTGGTCTGCGACCCAGTATAACCAAAAAATTCAGTTTGAAACAAATTTAGGCAGGACCAAAGTAGTCTAAAATTAAGCTTTCCCTGAAAAATATCAGAAAAGTAAATACCTCTGCGTATGATCCTGCAATTTGTAAATGACCTCCTATATGTAGCCCCCTGAAAACCTTTAGAGGTCAATCTGCGGATAGAAGACTTTTAACAGGGCCTTCTGCGTCTAGAACAACCCCCAAAAGACCTAGTTTTTTGATGAAAGACACACAGAAGACCTTAAAGTGACTGATCCACTCTAAGGAAGTGTTCGTCGGAAAATATTTGCTTTTAGGAGACCCTATATTGAAATGCCCTTTAGGAAAAGAATTCTTAAATTAAAATCCGTGGAAGGTAACTAATTGGTCTGCGACCCAGAATAACCACAAAATTCAGTTTGAAACCAATTTTGGCAGGCCCAAAGTAGCCTAAAATAAAGCTTTCCCTGAAAAATGTCAAAGTAAAAGAAAACATCTTTGCGTATGACCCTGCAATTTGTAAATGACCCTCTATATGTAGCCCCCCCGAAAACCTTTAGAGGTCAATCTGCGGATAGAAGGCCTTCTGTGCCTAGAACAACCCTCAAAAGACCTAGTTTTTGATGAAAGACACTCAGAAGGCCTTCAAGTGATTAATCACTCCAAGAAAGTGTCCGTCGGAGTGCTTTTAGGAAACCTTATATTGAAATGCCTTTTAGGAAAAGAATTCTTAGCCTGTAGATAAGCCCTTTAAAAAGTTAACCTATCCATAAAATACCTTAAAAGGGGCTAAAAATTGTAGATTATCAGGCTATAGAAAATATTTAAAATATTTTGCAACCAAACAAGAAGAGCTTCCAGAGGTCTTTTATTTATAGGAGAGGTAGTCACTAGTCTTCTATCTTTAAGGTTGCTTCAAAAGACCTTATACAAGATTTTCTGCCGCCAACTTCATATATAGAACATAGAGTAGTCTCCTATCTATAGGAACGCTTCAAGATGTGTTCCAAAATAGTGTTTAAAGTCTTCTATCTGCAGAAGCGCTGTACTCACTCTCTGGGACTCCCCCCCCCCCCCCCCCCCTCTCTCCCTCTCTAGAAATGCCTTTTGAGATATTTCATCTATAGACGAACTTTTCAAGGACATTAATATATAGGAAAGCATCTAAGGTTGTAAGAGCTTTTACATGACTTTCATCACCAAAAATATCCGCGCAAAAATGTGCACTTTCGGTTGGCCACCAGAACTCAAGCGCTGGCCATGGTGATGGTGTGGGCCGCAATAACAGCCGATGGTCGCTCTCCGCTCGTGTTAATCGATCTTTGAGGGTGTATTAAAGAATGTTTACAAAAAAAGAGGTTCCTCGCTTCATTTCCAGCGCACAATGGCCATCAAAATCTCCGGATACCAATTCGTTGGTCTATCGTGTCTGGAGTATTTTGGAAAGCAAGCTTGGCTCTAAAAAATGCCAAAGTGTCGATCACCTCAAGCATGTGCTTCGCCGGGAATGACCCAAAATACCGCAGCAGAGCCACATTCGGTCAGCGTGTGACGGTTTCATTGGCCGTTTGAGGGCCATAATTCGTGCCAAAGATGAGCAATTCGAACAAGTCTAAACTTATTCTAAAATTTGATGCTATTTCCGACATTTTTAGCTTTCATTCAATAGAATTCAATGGAGGGTGCATTAAGTTTGCCGTTCGTACTCTGTTTGTAAAAATCACTCTAGCATCCAAACGAAATGATAACATTTTTCTCAAAATTATTTTATGCCTGCAGGACATTGAAATTGGGCCATGTTGGTCCATGCCTTTGTATAGCTCCATATAACAGCGACATTTTTCACCGGACTTGTTTCAAGTTTGGTATTTGAAGTTCGAAATGGATACTACAGCCTAAGACAGAAAATTGTCTGTGCAGGTCTTTGTCTTCGTATAGCCCCCTCCCGATAATCGGTATTTTGATGATTTTAGCCCCATTATTTACTGGAATTGTTTCAAGTTTGACATTTGAAGTTCGAAATGGATACTACAACCTACGACAGAAAATTTTCCGTGAAGGTCCACGTCTTCGTACAGCCCCCATACAACGGTAACTTCCAATATTCGGTATTTTGATGATTTTAGAGTAATTATTCGCCGGAGTAGTTTCAAATTACGTATTTAGAGTTCGCGATGAGAACTACAGTCTGTGACAGAAAATTGTCTATGCAGATCTAGGTCTTCTTATAGGCCCTATACATATATTTGTACCTCCCTATAATCGGTATTTTGACGATTTTAGGTACAATACTCACAGAAATTGTACTTGAAGTTCGTAATGGATGCTACAGCCTGTGACAACAAATTCTCTATGCAGGTCCAGGTCTTCGTATAACTCCGATATAACGGTACCTCCCAATATTCGGTATTTTGATTATTTTTATTTTTTTGAAAATTTCCAAATTCGTTCCAAATGGTGGAGGGTATTCAATGTCCAGGCCCGGCCAAACTTACTGCTTTTTAACTTGTAAATATTTTAACAGAATTTTGAACGGATTTTATTTTTTGAAAATTTCCAAATTCGTTTCAAATGTTGGAGGATATTCAATGTTCGACCCGGCCGAACTTATTTCACCCTGTATGTATCTAACTTTGATAGCTTTGTTCCGAAAAAAATTGACGTTTCGAATTCCGGCTGCTTCCCAAAAGTTATAATGTTTGGTAAAACTATGGATCGCGTGCGTAGCCGATGATGGACATACCACAGAGTAGAAAACCCCAAGCCCAGGTCGAAGGCCGGCTACTTCCAAAAATTATAAAGTTTAGAGAAACTATGGATCGCGTAGCCGGTGTTGGACTTACAGCGGAGAAAACCTTACCTTATAATGTTTTGAAAAACTAGTTTTTAGAGATTTTTTCAAAAAGTACTTGTATAAAATATTAATTTCCTTGAAAAACTCCGGAACCGGTTCCAACAACCCTATCATATGACCATTTGTTTGATAGGTATTTCCATAAACTTACCCATTTGGTTAATATAACGTAAATAATAGTTTCGTAGAACCGGTTAAAAACCGGATATTGTATCCGAATTTTCGGGTCAAATAACCGGGTAATCCGGTTTTTTTTTCTCCACGAAAAATTACTTTCCCTTAATCAGGTAAAAAATATCCACCTGCGTTAAAAATTTTAATATGATCCGAGCATAGCCCCTAAAGTTTAGGGTTTAGGGTCTAAACCCAACTTGCTCCAATGTTTCTCCCTCTCCCTCTCCGTCTCCCTCTCTTTGGCTTTTGTTGTTTTTTTTTTTCTTCCTTTACATTTCATTTCCCTCATTTTATTTCATTTTAATTGGTCTTGCATTTCAACTAAGCACTATTATTTTATTGTTATTATTTTTCTTTAATTTGTATTAATTTTAATAAATTATTAAGTTATTAGTTGTTGTTGTTTTTGTGTTGCTCCTCCAGCAAAGTAAACAAAAAAGCACTAAGTGTGGAATGAAGTGCAAAAAAAAAACAAAAAACTAATAATGGAGACGTTGTAGTTGCCGCCATGGAATGGATGGATAGTTGGGTTGGCTTGGTTTGACTGTCTGGCTGGCAGGCTGACTGTTAGAGCAGCAGCTCAATTACATGTGGCGGCGGCGGCGGCATCAACATCGGCGACTTGTTGTTGCATTTGTTGTGCATTTTTTTCATTATTATTTGGGCTCTGTTCGTCATGCGATTATTTTACGTCTCAGTTGAGACCAACACGTTTTTGCTTTCTGTTGTGAGGTATGGTACGAATAAAAAAATAAAAACAAACAATAACAAAAACAACAACAGCAACAAAGGGAAGAACTACGTAGCAAGCACAGGCAAGCTCATAGATAGTATATGCACTAATGCACAATGAATGCGGCTGCTGTTGTATACCACCTATTTTTCTCGCGGGTGTCGCCTGACCGCCTGCCTGCCAACCAGCCAGCCAGACATCCCAGCCGGATTGCCTTGTAGTTTCCTTTTTCATGTTATGTTTATTTTAATTATTGTGTCTTCTACTTTGTCTGGCCTAGCAGCAGCAGAGGAGGGGAGGGAGGATTGCTTAGACTTCTTTGGCATATTTATTGGCCAGTCACAGGTTTCTCTCTCTCCCACCCCACCTTGCCAAAGAATTCCGAGACCAGGGCCTAACCAAAGTTTACTTTTCATTTCAGTTTTTCTGTTGCTGTTGTTCTTTTTTTGGCAGCATTGGTTGCATGTAGCACAGTCTTTTTTGTTGTCCTACTACTCTTCTTTGTCTTCTTTGTTGTAGTAGAGCTATGTCGTTGCTGTTTTTGTTTTCTTGGTGGGGTTGTTGTTGTTGCTTTTCTTTGTCAAGAGATGAGGTTGGGTGATTAAAGTTCGTCGTTTCATTTTATGATACTCTACTATTTGTCTTAATCAATTGCCTTATTCTGCTTCTTTCACTTCTTGTTCGGCTTCGACTTCTGCCTTTGCCTTCTTTCAATTTCATGTTGTGCAAACATTTCCCATTATT